CAATTCTTTACCAAGAAATACGTTTATGGTAAAATTTTGGAAAATGGGCGTGGCACCGCCCACTTATGATCAGATATAAGTATATCGGTAACCGTTATACCAATTTGTACCACACTCGGTATGCTTATTGTGCTTGCCACATAAAAGCAAACGTTGAAAATTATTGAAATCGGACTAAAATTACGGCCGCTTTTCATGTAACGGTAAATTTCAGAAATGCTTGAAACTTCAATATTGCGCAATTTAACTTACTTGCGCCGGGTATTTAATGTTCGGCTCCGCCCGAACGTAGACTTTCTTACTTGTTTTATATGAGAATTGAAGTCGGTTTTGTTTTTTGCTTAAAAATTACTTGTTTGTTTTTGTTATATTAAATTGTTTATAAAAAAATGTAGCGAAACATATTTGCTCATTGAAATTTTTAATTTTTACGAGCGCTAACTGAAAAATGAAGATAGAAAGGCTGAAATCGTGTCACATTATTTGATTTCGAGTCCTATGTACAACGAAATTTTCAATAAAGAGAGAAAGAGGCTGTCGTTTTATTTGACGCAGTCTAATGTACCGACACACATACTCACTGCGCCGTACTTATTATTAAATAATATTTACTAACGTAAGATTTATTTTAATTTTTTTAATGCAATGCAAATATCAAATTCCACATTCCAACCCACAACGAGCACAAAAATACATAAAAATTATACATAGCCATAAAGTATTAAAAATAAATATATTTTAGTCGCGTACAAGTGTATTAATGAGAGCCTCTATGCATTCCACGATATGACAATCTTCAATTCAAACGAAGTCAGATATGAAAAATAAACTATTATTGTATGTAGGTTCTTACTTTATATAATATACATATATACTTACATATGTAAGTACATACGTATGTATATCAATGCTTATAGATTGATAGACTGCTCTGACACTGTTTTTATTACAATACTTTTTATAGCGCTTGATGAAGTAGTTGCATTAATAGTTTTTGAATAATTTTATAGTTGGGTTGTACTATTCTCGCATCCCTCGGAATTCACACCCGTCTGTACCACTGAACTGGGTCGCCGGAGTTCGCTAAGCGTAATGCCAAGTGTTTGGCCCATTCAGTGGATGATCTGAAGTCACATGTTGACTGGGTAAACGACATCAAGTCCTATTGTCTGGATATTCCCGGTGAATTCCCGTACCCCATAATTGCCGATCCTCATCGTGATTTGGCTGTACTCTTTGGCATGTTGGATGAGGAGCAGAAGCGATGAGGAGCAGAAGCGAGATGCAGAAATTGGCAAAACCATACGCGCACTCTACATCATCAGCCCCGATCATAAAGTGCGTTTGTCGATGTTCTATCCCATGTCCATGGGCCGTAATGTTGAGTAAGTTAGCGATGAGCTTTAAATATTGTCACGAGCGTTTCTCATTTAAAGTTTTTAATATTCCAGTGAGATTTTGCGTTGTCTCGACTCATTGCAATTGACTGACAAGCTGAAGGTGGTGGCCACACCCGCTAACTGGACGGTGAGTTTTGTGTTTGTATTCGAGTGTATTTGCTGATTTATAATTTATATACCTGTATCTATTTCTCAATACAGCCTGGTACGAAAGTTATGATTCTACCCGATGTGACCGACGAGGAAGCAAATAGACTATTCCCAAAAGGCTTCGACAAGGTTTCAATGCCGTCCGGTGTCAATTATGTCAGAACCACAGAAAACTACTAGATTTTAATGCTGCAAAATTATCAAAATCAAAATCAAAGCAAAAATAATTACAATTTGATTCTGTTCGAATTGAGTTGGTGCCCTTATCTGTATGTTTTAAGTATGTGCTGATCATTTTAAAAATGATTTTGTGCTTGATTTTTAGATTATTGTTATTTTTAAGTAAAAAAAAAAAACAAAAAATAAATTTTGAGTGCAATTCAATTTTTGACTTTTAAATATGTAGATATGTACATGTAGTTCTTAAAGGCGGATTTACCGTTCTAGTTGAGAACTCTTTTCTAATTTACTTATTCTCTTTCACGAAGAGAATGATCTTAAGTTAGATTCATCTTGCTGTCAAAATGATAACGCCATTTAAAATTAAATTTAAATTTAAATTTAATTCATAAATGGAAATTTGAAGTTTAAATGTTTTACACGTATTTTTTCTATGTTGTTTGTTTCTGTAACCATTTTTAACAAATTTAACAATTTTTAGAACTAAATCTCATACTTTAAGTGCTCTGTGAAGCGAAAAAATTTAAAATTAAATTAAATTAAAATCATGTATGGCAATAATGGCAAAAACATCCAGCGAAGAATCGCTCTTCCCAAAAAGTGCAGTTTTGGACTGAGTAGGACATTCAGAAGTAAAGTCCTCTCTTAACAAATCAAAGTCAATCTTTATAAGTCTCTCGTGATTCTCCTTCTGATATACGACGCAGAGGTTTAGACGATGAAAACATCTGTGAGTGATCGAGAGAAAGATTCTGCGGAAGATTTACGGGCCTTTGCGCGTTGGCGACGGTGAGTGCACGGAACGATAGAAACTCAGCTGTTGTATGAGAATTACAGCGACACGCACATAGTTCAGTGAATCAAAATACAGCGGCTGCACTGGCTACACTCAGAAAAAAGTCAGCTAAATATATTACTCTCAACACATGCTTTGGAAACTATAACCAAATAATGTAAACATAACCAAATCATGTGTTGAGAGAAAAATATTTAGTTGACGTAACTAAACTCTTTTCTCAGTGTAGGCCATGTCGGACGAGTAGATGAACATGTTAAAACTTTTTAACTTAAAAGTAATACAGAGATACTTAATACGAAGAAAAGGATATAGAAATAGGTTCCCATCAGGATTATTTGTAGTCATATGACTTTTATATGTATGTAGATACTGAAATATTGAAGAAGTGCACTTTTAAAGCTGCTCCAATTCAGTCCAGTTTTAACACTTTCCGCAATCGAGTTCAGTTTACAAGAAAAGAAAAAATAATAAAATGAGTTTCGAAAAATAAAATGAAATTAAAAAAAAAGTTTATTTTTAATATTTTGATTGAGCTTTATACCATGATGGTTTTGTTAGAAAAAAATGGAAAAAACCACAAAGCTTAAGCGGCAGAAGTTATAGCAGCTATTTCGGAGATCACCACATCTCCTCATCAGACTTCTTTTTTCTAGACTTTCAGCAGGGATCGAACCCGCTTCATCGATGTGCAAAGTCAGAAAAAAATATTGTTTTTTTTACAGCCGGTATCACCAGCAATTTAAATAGAAAATTATTTCTTATTTTCTGAAAATTTCCATATAAAATGCAAACAGTTAAAATCATTGCTTAAATTGCTTTCGCGAAATTGGCGGGAACCATAGAGTACAAAGATTAAATTAAAAAAATAACAAATATTTAAAAATAAGGGACTAAAATAATATTCTAAAAATTAAATGAAATTAAAAAATATATATATGTATGTATTTAAAACATTGAAATCTAAAAATTCTAAGAAATTTAGTTTAAGAAAAAAACAAGTAATTAAAAAAAAAACATAAACAAGTTCACTGCTCATATAAAAATGTAGGAGTATCGTTGATTTCTTCATGAACCACTTATTGGAACTAAATCAAATTCGGAATGGACCGATCAAAAAAAGAATTATCGAGAACACTTCACTTGGTCAAAAGTCACGCGGAACGAAAAATAAAAACAAAAAATACACGGAGAGATGTTTTTTACTTAAAGTTGGATAAATGTATTGTTAATTGCGAAATAGTAAATAAATCGTGAAATATTCAAATTTTGTTTAGTTTTCACTGAATTAAAGAAAACACTCTACTGAAAATAAGAAAAAGGTTTTCTTGTTCACAAACAACATCAAACCCTATAGAAAAGTACCGTTTGAAAAAATATTAAAATAAACAGGAAGGATGTTTTTCAAACTTACTAAACAACAACAAAAACAAAGAACAGAAATAAATTTGAAAATATTTTCTTAACGGAAATCATGGTACAATAATTACTGGTATTGTCTTCCCAGAGAGTTTTGCTCAGAGCTGGGTAAATGCAATTACATTACATTTAGTTCACAGCAAAGGAATCGATTACTTTTTCAATTCCTTGAAGTAATTTCAAATGGAATTGTTTTTTTCTTTAATTCCATTACAAGGAATTTCATATTGTAATTGGAATAAATTACATGCTAGTAATGTAATTTCTTTTATTTCAATTCCTTTGAAAGGAATTGAAAATGTAATTTTTTTTCCAATTCCTTTGAAAGGAATTGAAAATGTAATTGATTTCTTTTCGAATTTCCCTTCCTCAATTTAATTTAATTTATAAAAAAAAATTTTTACAGTTGAATTGCAATAGCTTTGTTAAATTTTTCTCGGTTACTAACTGCCTTGAATAAATAACTTGTACCTAAGTAGTATTACTAATTGGACTTTAAGAAAACTGAATAACTTAAACTGTAGGTGTTGAGTTTATAGGGTAACGGTTAAATTTTCCAGATCCTACCGTGAACGCGCTTCGCGGCAGGTGAGACCCATAAATATCGAAGCAGGCATAACTAATGTGACCAACTATTTCATAGCTCAAAGAAGTACAGGTTAGGTTAACGCCGCGAGCCGATTACGAAATTTCGATTGCGGCTAATTTCGATACATGAGAGCTCAGTGTTTTTACAGAAGTGCGAGCCAAAATTCTTCCATCTTAGCCTTGCGAAGGTTTGACAGTCTAAAAGAAAGAGTGGAGATGATTCCACTTCACATTCCGTTTGACATCTGATACAAAAAGATCAGTCGAAATTCCTAGTCTCACCGCACGAATACCAATCACACAATGGCCTGTCAGAACCCCCCATCACTAGCCCTTGAGAGGTAACGTTTTTTAAAGTGCCATATAAAAACACTTGCTGCAGCAGAGAAACGTCTGCTTTTCCGTTTTTCTGTCAGAAAAGGACCCGGCTTCCCTTAGCCTAATAGCAGTTCGTGCTGCGACAATTCTGTCTGCAATATCCGAAGGCGCCGTGTTCAACATATGTTTATGAAGCGCCAGTATTGGTGTGGTTCCTAATGCTCCGCTAATTCCTGTTTGACAAGTGTAGCCTTCTCTAGTGAGTTCCACCAGAAAAGGGCTTCTTGAAACAATATAGGTTTAAATCTGGTTTCCTAGAGCTAAAGAATTAATTTGGGCGAAAGACCCCACCTTCTACCGTTAGTTCCCCTACAACAGTACAAGGCCCTATCCTTTCCAAAATGTTAGGCTTCTACGACAGCCGCCGTTGAGCCAGATCAAAAAGGGTGTATAAAAGTCGTCCTTTAACCAAAAGTTCCACCCGGCAGCCCACTTTTTTTGTTTACAACCGCAATAAAAAGCAAGGGAGAGAGAACACCACCTTTTGGAGTGCTTCTATTGACTCTGCTCTGAGTACAGACGCTCTCCCACTCCGCCGTGACAGTTCTGCCACGAAGTAAGCTTATTAGGTTGGTTTCAACCCCCAGATTATTAATATACTTGACTATTGCCTCTGGAGTGACATTGTTGAAGGCCCCCTCGATATCAAAGAAGGCTCCTACTGCATAATCTTCATGCGTGAAGGCTTCCTCTGACGACTTTACCAATGTGTGCAGGGCGGTATTCACCAACCTTTTCTTGCAATAAGCATATTGAGCTCTTGAAAGACAGTCACGAGTAATCGCATTTCTTATGTACAGGTCTAAAATCCCTACGGCAAACATCAGAGCTTTTTTCTGCCTTCGGGATGAACGCAACACTGACTACCCTCCAAGCCTTGGGGATGTACCCGGTCCTCGCGCAGTTCTCATAAATAGGATCCAACCAATTGCACGACACCTTCAGAGCCCTTTGCAGTTGCAAAGGTATGATGCCATCGGTCCCCGGCGACTATAATGGTTTAAACGAATTTATCGCCCAGGCCATGTGAAGATCATCCAGAAGAAGGGAGAAATAAACGCAAAAACATTTATATCATGCGTCAAAAAGTGCGATAGCGATCCGAAAATTGTCGCTACATTGTGTAAAATTAATTTTAAGTAGTATGTTACGGATCTGTATACCGTCTTTTTAGATAAGGTCATTTAGTCAAGTTATTTTCATTTTAAGTTTTCATTGCGAATGAAAAAAATTCAAACTTTAACATGGTCATACGGTCCTGTACGATATGGCGTACGAGTAACATTATTTCCTGCTAGTATTTCATACAAAAAATTATTGCACTTTCACTTAACCTTTGCAAACTTTATCCATCGTTTTTCATCGTTAGTAGTGTTTTAAGCCGCAAAACAAGCAGATATTGGCTAGTCTATACTAATATATATTTTGAAAGCCCTTTTTTTTTTGTTCGCAAAGCTCGAGAAACGCCGTACCGATTTTTTTGAAATTTCGGAATCTACTGCAGACTTTCCAAGGATGGTTATAGGCTAAAAAAAAGTCTCGGTATAGAAAGGGGGCGTGGCACCTCTCATACAAACCGAATTTTTCAAACTGCATATATTTGTGGTAGAAGACTAGAACTGGGTATGGGGATATATACATATATAAGATCAATTCCATACTCATGAACAAAAATTTGCATGGTTGGAGAATGTGGCGTGGCACCTCCCATATAAACCGAACTTTTCATATTGCATATCTCTGGAAGTGTTCATGGTAGACTGTAAGCCTTTTTAAAACTCTTTAGTTTGACACCCACATGTCAACATTTCATTTACTGTATCAATTTAACTAAATTACAATTTCCAAATAGGTGGCAGCCCCTCTCAAAAATATTTTCAACAGTTATCTTTCTTAAACCTCTTTAATTTGATACCCATGTTGTAATATTTTATTTATTTTATCAATGTAATTTAGTTAAATTTTCAAACAGATGGCAACCTTCCTCAAACATATTTTCGGCATTAAGTCTTCTTAAAACTCT